AGAGAGAGAGAGAGAGAGAGAGAGAGAGAGAGAGAGACGAGGATGAGGATGTGAGGGCACGTACCTGGTCTTGGCGATGGTCTACAGGGTCAACATCTTCATGTACTTCGGTTCTTGCTGCTGACGTCAACAGGATGCATTGTCAATTCGTATAGCTGAGTTGTAGCTGTGTGATTGTAGTCTGGGCACTGAGCGCCAAGTAGGCATAAGGGATCTGGATACATACGTTGGTGGTGGCGAGAGTATGCTCTCATTGACATTCAGATTCGGTGCTTTGGTTCTCCGTTGGTGGGATATCAGTGCATTACTGCTTTCTGGACAGCGTTCGACTTTCTGGCTTTCAAGTTTCAATGTGATTTTGCATTCTGGAATTCTGTCATTTTGCTATCGCACATCTTCCTTGCACATACATGCTACATAGATATATATACACATGTATAGTAATGGGGGAGCTAAAGAAGAAATAGTCAAAGAGGCAACACTAAGGAAAGAAAAGGAAGAGTTGTAGACAAAGAGACAAAAGAACGGTTTCAGTTTGCTCGCCATGATTATTTTGTGTTTTTTGTTTGTTTGTTTGTTTGTTTGTTTGTTTGTTTCACAAAGTGCGCTGTTTGGTTGATAGATCAGTGACAATGTATGTAAAAAGTGCTAGGGGACTCAGGGGAGGGGTTTTCTTACCCTTAGATCTGGCTCTTTCTCCAGAATGTCATAGAGGGATGCACCACACTGCGTGATCTCGCTGACGAGTGAGCGTATCAACTTCATATCGAGAGTGTTCGAGTTCAATGCCACTTCATTACCCTCATCCTTGACAAGGGAAATAATTTCAAATAAAAAAATAAGGCACATATGTTGAAACAAAAACAGGAAAAGAAAAAGAAGAACACACAAGTAAATCAGTACTTAGTACTTAGTAATTAGTAATTAGTAATTAGTAATTACTAATTACTGATTACCAATTAGTCACTTCAATAAAGAACCAAAGCATGTTTAAAATTGAAATTGGAAACAGAAAAAAAGGAAAAAGGAAACAGAACAAAATTACAAGTTCATGGCATGAACAGGAAGCATTTAATGTGCATTGTGCACCCACCCATCCTGCCCCTCCCATCCCCCACCATCCAAACAATACAAGAAGTTCAAGAACTAGGTGCATCGGGCTTTATAAAAAAGGCAGAAAAAAAATTGTGCAACCCCAATTTTGTTAGCAGCCCCGCTTCAACAGAGTCGCTTTTTATTTCACCACTTTAATCTCCAGCCATACCTTCTTTTTTTTTTCCAATTTTTTTTTTTTTTTTTTTAAATACATAAAACAGTTCCAGCCATGGTTCTAACCTCCAAGTTCGCATTTTTTAATGCTAAGTTCAAACTCCACTTTCATCTCAAATTCATTTGGCCATTTGGCCCATTTTGTCTCAAAAAATGGCCAAAGCAAATTCGAGAGCGTCTCTGGCGTGCTGAGTTGGGCATCTTTGGATTTCGTTGAACTCTACCTCTGCATGATCGCGATCATATGGTGTGCTCATGCATGTCGTGGTAGGCTCAGCAAAGGCTCAGGGTAGGCTCAGGGAAGGCTCAGGGAGGGCGCACGGAAATCTCATGGCAGGCTCGAGGAAAGCCCTTCCTATTTGGGAATGAACCAGGGGTCATTTGGCGAAGGCTTCAGGATGCCCGGGGCTAGGTCCCGCTTACCCGGATTCCCAATTTCTGACCGTAGATTTATGAAGATCAACCGTCAAAAAGAGTCAGAATTGAAGAATCAGGCCAAATTGGACCTGGTCCTCGGAGAAAGGCTCGGAACTCATACCTCTTCCTTTTCTGCTTGTATTGTTGCTTGATAAAGAACTGTAGCTATTTTTAGAAGCTCCTTGACTGCATGGCCATCCGCTGCGTAGATCCTCTTTGGGTTCAACTTGATACGAGCTTTCTTCAGCTGAAATGCAATTGTCAACATGTTCAACACGCTTCGCCGACAGAAGATGCAAAACCGGGGAAAAAACAGCATCCGAAACACATCGCAGAAATCAGTCCAAAGAAGACAAGTAGTACACATAAAAACACTTAGTACTGTAATGAACCCAGACAGATGAGAAGCTCACAAAATGCCGTGATACAAGTCTGACACAGCGCGGCATCAATGTCTCCAAAAATCGTACATGAACCCATGCTCGCCATACATGTAGTCTCCCAATGTATCGAACCCAGAGAAGAGAATGAGGAGAGAGGAAGGAGAGACTGAGAGGAGGAGGAGGAGAGTTTTCGCATGAACCAACGAAGCAGAATCCCTCTCAAGCCCCCTTCCTCTTCGGGCACTTCCCCCCAACTCGCCACGTCAGCAACACCGTTCTCCCCTGATGATCTCTGACGTATACAACGAACAGGTCACAGCAGGGCGACCATCCTCCTGCCATGTCAGCAGCAGCCAAGGAGGATGGCGCAGATCTCCCTCTTGAAAACCAGCAGCAAAGCACATGTGTCGTCACAGGCACGTCCAGGTAAGCTTCTCCTCATCACGCATACCAATCTCACAGTCCAGATCCTCCTCCTCCTCCTCCTCCTCCTCGCCCTCACTCCCATCAATGTCGCAATCAATGTGGCTATGGCCACGTCAGCATAATCACCCTCGAGGCTGCCGCCCACACTCACTATCTCGCGGCGCCAGCATAGAGCTCCAGCAGCCTTGCGTCGACGCACTAGCATCAAGCCAGCGCCAGGCAGAATGCACAAGACTGAATGACCTCAATCAGGGGCTGGGTCAACTTATAATGTTGACTGACTCACGTTGACCAGCCTCTGGTCTCCTGGGTACGACGACGGCCCAGATCTCTCGGCAGCCGATGGCCTGGATGTTGTGCAGTTGCAGATTTCCCACGTGTCCCACTTGGACCTGATTCTTCTTCTGGATACCTGCAGACAAAACCAATGATCTGTGTCCGATCCACGGCGGAGTCTGATGAACGGTTGACTTTGACTTTTGGGCCTGAGTTTCCGAGCTGGGGTTGACCATTGACTTTCCCAGGGGCAACAGCCTCACGTAGGGCTCTCTGAAGGCGCCACTGCCCTGGGTACCCCATGACATCAGCCCTTCGTCCAACCGTTGAAAGGACTTAGGTCGTGACTTTTTTTGACCCCTGTTTCGGGCCTTGGACCAAAAGTGACGACCGATCTACAGCCCATGGCTAATGCAGATTTGAGCGGAGTTATTGCAGTACTCGAGTACTGGTTAGTAATAAAATACTAATTGTGAATTAATTATAATAACTGGTTTTGAGTTCTGGTGGATTAAATAAACAAACAATAATGTTAGGGACTAACTGGCTTGCAAAACCCTTTTCCAAAAAAAAAAAAAAAAAGAGGTTTTGAGAAAATGGAAAGTTGAACTAATTAGTTACCATTATCTGGACCGCTGCCTTCAGGAAAGCAACCCGATCACCCTCCGTACTGATTTCGTCGTTGAGTTCAACAGTCGGGTCATACCTGCACCAAAGAGAGAGAGAGAGAGAGAGAGAGAGAGAGAGAGAGAGAGAGAGAGAGAGAGAGAGAGAGAGAGAGAGAGATGGCTTAGAACAACCTCTTTTTTTCCTTTGTTTTTTTTTTTGTTTTTTTTTTTGTTTTTTTGTTTTTTTAAGGGGAAAACTCAAAAGCTTAAAAGTTAAAACTCTCATTTGATTACCAATGGGCCCCATGCCAAGGCTGTACCAAAATTCAAAACCCCGCACGGAACAATGGATCTGGAAATGGTACCCCCAGGAGGATGATAGAAAAGCAGGGTCAGTTGCGACCAACAAAGCTGAAACACATAACCACGATGAGCGTGGTAATCATATGTGATAACAATGTCGAAAAGAAAACTTTGAAAGATAGAACATTAAGCTCGTGCACCACAGCCTTGGCTATGGCACCTCCGTCTCCCCGTAAGATATGAGTTTCCGAAGCAGAAGTAGCTGGCATCCCCGACTAGTTTCAGTCGCTGCCAGTTAGCGACCTCATCAGGGGGTTCGAGATGTTTAGGCATCTACTAACTATCTACTTATACTCGCATTCTCATGAAAACCTACCTGCTTCTACATCAAAAGAAACTACGGTTTCCTGTGCATCTCCCCTCGGTAGGAACTCCCGCCCTCCTGAAGCCCCTTCCAATTCTTCTGAGAAGCCTCTCCACACGTGTTTCCGTCCTCTTTCCCTTATGGCTACAACACCTTTCCCGCCTGTTTTTTGTACTCTGGCTCCGGATTCAGAACACTTGTCTGTATTTCCTTGAGGTTCTGCGCCGGGCGCGCAGGTCCCCCAACCTTATTACACAGAAATCCGCAGATATCCGATAAAACGGCAACATTCAAAATGCGTCTCCAAGCATTGCCGTGGCACACGCTGTTACGAAAGTCCGAGCAAACTCGAGGCCTACCGGAACCCAGGAGCTTACAGTAATAATCTCGATATACCTACATCTAAAATTGCGGCAGAAATCAAAGCGGATCCGTGCAAACGACAAAAACCGAAGCGCGCATTGCTTCGAAAAATCCGAGCTCGCTCCAGACCTACCGAAAGAAAACAGGCGAAACCTGCAAAGAAAACGGGCCCGGGAAAATTTCTGTCTCTGTTTTTTGTCTGTACCTACGCAGCCCGTCCAGCAGGGCTTCCACGTTTTGGTTATCCCCTTCCACACTGCGTTGCGTTACCTTCATATCATCAATAATAAATTAATAATCAATGATGCTACCAAAAATAAAATTAAAATAATAGAATCCCTTGGCGTCCTTCCCAGGAAAAACCTGCAAAGTAATAAAATTAAAAATAAAAATAATAATCCCCTCTTCCCTGCTCCCAGTATCCTGACCAGGGGAATTCCCTCATGTATGTAGCCATACTCCCCTCTTCCCCTGCTCCCTGTATCATTTCCAGAGAGATCCAGAAAAAATCCCCCTTGTCTTTAGTCATATTCCCGTCCATTTACTCGATTTTCTTTCTTGCATCTATACTCCCCTCTTCTCCTGCTCCCA